CACAATAAGGACATTTACAGTGTTACAGCAGCAAAGAGCAAAGATTGCAGGGACAGTGCACATTAATGATCATAATGCCAGATTATAGTCAAAGGCTAATTTCCACCTGTAGTCCCTTGGCAGGTTGGTGGTAAATGCGTAAAAAAAAGTTGCATAAAACCACAATGACAAGCAACACCAATACAACAAGTAATGACAAAACAACAACATATACCGTACATGAATTAACAGAGACACATACCAGTATAAAGAGTGGCTGTTTGACTTTGTTCAGAACAAACCATGAAGTGACCATCAGAGTTCAAAGTGCTTCAGGTGCTGCTCAGGGAGGTAAAGTGTCAGAGTATTAAAGTGTCACAGTGCTGGAGTATTGCACATCATTAAGAGGGATTGTTGTAATTGCACATTTACCCTAGAGAGCGTGTAACTTTAAAGGACTTGAAGGAAAGCACAAACAAGAAGACGTACCAGTTAACTAAAAGGCAAAGGTACAAAGACAATTATCAAACACATCATAATAATAATAATAATTCCATTGACAGACTCATTTAGAAAAAAGTTTCGGATACATTTAAATTATTGGCATGGATTTTTTTGTGTAGGGACCAAGCAGCACACAACACGGGAGTCATCTTAAAGAAAAGGTGGATTTTTATTTTATCCAACAAAGAAATACAAAGTTTACAAACCAAATTATAAGAACTAGGCCAATGAAACACAATAAGGTGTGAACAAAGCAGCAACCTCCAGGGTGTAAAAATGAGGCCAACGCTGAAGAGTAAAATCCTGCAGTTCCTCGAGTGTCCACTAGAGGCTGGCTGCAGAAGCACAGGAAGTCAAATACACACCCATTCAAAAAAGCCTGTTTTTACAGCAGAGATTAACATGTTTACAGCCTGGTTAAAAAAAAAAAAACTAAACGGTACTATTTAGTTATTGTCATCACTGGTACAAGGACTCCACGCCTCCCCACCAACACAAAGCTTATCTCACACTGAGATCATTTAATGATTTATTTACTGTGTTTGGCTCACAGTAGTGATGATCAGAGGGGCAGAGTTCCCTGAGACATTATTACAGGGACCACAGATAGGGAAGAGTTTCTCAGTGAAGTTACAGCCGGTGAAGGAGTAGATGAGAGCTGCTGCATCTACATCATAGAAAGAGACCACACCCTCCTCATAATCCACAAACACGCCCACCGTCTGAGGCTTCGACTTCAGAGAGAGGAGAACGCTGACAGCTTTGTACTCACCTCCATTCCTCAACATCAGAACCCAAGGGCCTGTCTCTAGTCTTGGTATGATTGATTCCTTCCTGTTAATTGATCCTCGGGCCACTCCTAAATCCCATTCACTTTTATTTTTAACCTGAACCTCAAAATAAAACTTTCCTGCAGAAATACTCTCCTTACCCATAACACAAACCGTCTCAGAAAACCTCTCTGGGTTGTCTGGGAGATTCTGTGTTTTACCAAAATATACTTGTTTCCCGTCATCAGACAGAATGAGAAATGGATTTGCAGTATCAGGATCCAGAGTGATGTCCACTGCATACTGCTGGATCCTCATCAGCTCAGACTCAAGCTGCTTCTCCACCTCTTCACTGAGTTTCTCCTCCAGCTGAGCCACAGCGCTCCTCACCATCCCCTCATACGATGAGTGAACTCTGACCTCCGTCCAGTCTTTAGTGGGTGGGTGATCAGGGTTCAGGGATGGGAGGTTTTGGAGGAACTGGAGGTGGTCTTCAGTGCTTAAGAGCTGCTCCATTTCAGTGTTTCTCTCCATCAGCTCAGAGATTTCATCTTCCAGCTCTTTGATGAAGCCTTCAGCCTTCTCCTCTGTTGTTTTCTGCTTCTCCTCAAGTAAGTCAAGAAGTTGAGCCAGGCCTTCCTCGACAGACCGGATCAGAGCTGTGAAGACCTGCACGCTGTCTGATTTCTCCCGGTCAGTATCTGCCCTGCTGAGCTCCACTGAATCCTTCATCTCCTGAATCTTTAGACGCCTCTCCTCCATCATTTTCTGAATTTCAGCCTCCGTCTTTGTCAGCTCAGTCTTCTTCTTTTCATATTGCTCCATCAAGGGAACAATACAGTGAAGCTTGTGATTTGATTCAGTGCATCTTCGACACACACACATCTGATCCGTCTTGCAGAACATCTCCAGAGGTCTGCCGTGACTTTCACACATTCTGTCCTGCAGGTTCTCCATAGGATCGACCAGCTCGTGTTTCATCGGACCTGTCATGTTCTGATGATTCTCCAGGTGAGTCTCACAGTAGGAGGTCAGACACACCAGGCAGGACTTCAGAGCCTTCATTTTGGTTTCAGTGCAGACGTCACACAGAACTTCTCCAGAGTTGGTGTTTTCCTTCAGAGACATTCTGCTGTTTCTCTTTGCAGTCGACTGTCTGAACTGAGCAGCCATCTCTGATATGAACGTGTTGACTCGAAGCTGAGGACGTTTTTCAAACACATCTTTACACATGGGACACTCACACTGATCATTAACATCCCAGTGATGAGTGATGCAGCTCTTGCAGAAGTTGTGTCCACATGGTATGGAGACTGGATCAGTGAACACATCCAGACAGATGGAGCACAGAAACTGCTCCTCAGATAGCATGCAGCTGGTGGCAGACATTTCTAGAAACGGAGAGAGAAAAAAAGAAAATAAATCAACCTTTCAAAGGTAGAAGTCTGAGGGGAGACTTCAATTATAATTTAATTGGAAACACTCAGTAATGTGTCAAATTCTGAAATGGGAACCTCCATCCGGTCTTTGTTTTGTGAACACAGTCTCCATCTCAATTTTTTGTCTCGGTCTCGGACTGGGCAGACTCCAGATTGAAATTTATTTTTTGCCTTTCTTATAGGGCAGCTGAAGAGAGACAGGAAATATAGGGAGCAGAACTTGGGGAGCATGACATGCAGGAAAGGGCAGAGGTCGGACTCAAACCCAAGGCCGCTGCAACAAGGACTATAGCCTCCGTACATGGGGAATGCAATTTAAACACTAGGCAATTGGCGTCCTATTAGACCTACTTTCAAACTTACATCAACTAGACATCAAAATCAGGCAGGTGAGTGTGAAGACAGGAGACAGAAATAAACAATGAGCAGAATCGAAATAATGAGAGATACTTTTATGACAGTGTTTGCTGCCATCGTGTGGCCATAAGTGGTCACTTCAGTGGGATCTTACACTTTGTAGACTCACTTTTAATTGTGGACAGATGTTCGGTGAATTAAAGATATTCTTATATTTTAGACACAATGCCTGTGGTGTTAATGAGACTTGAACCAGCAAACAAAAGACCACGCTGATACAGACATCCAGACTTTTAAATCTGGTAAGATCCAAAGAGTTCTCAATTATTCCCCATGTCTCAATAATTGTGGTGTGATTTTGAATATTTGTGTCCATAAAGAAAGAAAGACTTCTCATATGATTTACTTCAGTCCTCTGAAACTCTTTCAACCTCTGACTGAAAACAGGAAAAGGAATTTCTTGCTTGCTGCTCGAACAAATTATTTTTTTTAAATGCTGTTTTAAACACTCTTAATATTATTAATATTAATGTACTCACCTGTGTGTAACTGCAAAACTTCGGCGTGTATCAGGAAGCCTAAAGGTCTGATTAAATGATCTCGTAAGTTAGATAGAAAGCGACCTTACTGTTCTCCAGCGATTTCTTTCACTTTCATTTCCTGGAGTTTGACACCGAAACACTCCTCCAGGTGCTGCTCCGCCTTCACTGCACTGACGTGATCCTTCATGTGCTCCAAAGTTAACTCTTCAACAGATATTATTTAGCCCAACAATCTCCGTGAAATCTTCTTAATATGATCGTTTAAGAGTCACATGTCAGCAGGTTTCAGCAGAGATATTTTGTTTGGGAATGCGGGAGGCAGTTTGAGCATTTATTCGATATTCATAACAAGCATTAGTTTCCTGCACTAATTCAGCCTTTGACAGTACTAGTGAAAACTGAAAGCATTACTTGTTACCATAGACTGTACATATTGATGGAAGAAGACTGAGTGACATTACCTATCTGTTCCTGCAGGGGGCTCTGGAGTCCCATTGATGGCGGTCTCCATCCGGGAAATGCTGTCTCTCTCACTGTAACTTTCGGTTAACCTCAGGACAGGCTGAGTGCTGGAGCTGAGGCAGGTTTTAAGCCTCTTAACAAACCGTTGCATCGTGCCCACCTGTCAATCATGTCAGCTACACGTCGAACTATCGATCACATGTATCGTTCATAAAGTCAAAACTGAGCTGTTAGAAAAAAGAATTCACCCCCCGTACAGTGTGTGACAATAACTAATAAACCTTATTTTGTTTTTTTGAACCAGGCTGTTAACATGTTAATTTCTGCTGTTAAAACAAATGTTTTTTTAATATGATGTGTATGTGACTTCTAGTGCTCTTGAAGCCAGCCTCAAGTGGACATTCTAAGAACTGCAGGATGTTGCAATTCTGCATCAGCTTCATTTTTGCTCGTTTGTTACGTATTGTGTTCCTATGGAAAGCCATTTGAATATTTATTCAATACCCATGATATCAATCTTAACTGAGTAAAGTTAACTGGTAAAATCTCACATGTTAATGAGTTAACTAGTAAGCCAAAATGATGTTTACTAGCTCACTAGTAAAGCTTTTTGCTATTAGCTTGTAAACTACTGCTGCCAAAAACCAAACAAATTCATGAAACTGAAAATTGATATCCAGGATATTGAATACATGTTCAAATGGCTTTCCATACCCATCAAAAGCTCTGACTACTATCAAAAAAGCTACGAGGTGCAAACTCATCAGGGATGAAAAAGGTGACATGGATCCAAACCCCCTAGGGGGGTCCAGGGGGAAGCCCCCCCGAGAAGATTATTTTTTAAATATCAGCTTTAAAATGTTAATTTACATACGATTTTAGCAATCAGACCTACTAAAGAAGCGGTGCAAACAATAAGAAAAACACCATTGCTTGTCGATATCTATGTCTCTGGCCTTATTACATGTGTTGACCAGCTGTCACTTTAATGTTGCCTGAGATAACAATGAACCAGAAAGCTGTATGAAGTTACCTCCAAGCTAGCACGCATTTCTCTCAACAACTTTACCTATGGCTACCAAACATTATGATCAGACAAGATGCTTAACTGAAAGGCTGGCTTGCTAACCAGACTTCGACTCTTTCCAAGGTGTTTTCACGGAAAAATAACGTTATGTAAATTAGCCATGTGCTCCACATTGACTCATTGAATCAGGTTTCATGCTTCTTGCGGTCGGCGCGGCAATATTGCGCAATCGCGGTAGACGCAAGAATGGTCCGCGGAGAGTCTGAGCGCCCAGCCGCGCACCTCCTAGATTTTGTAACAACGCGGACGGGTTTGTACTGACCGCATTGCAATGATTGGCTACAGGGCCTGGAAGTACTTTATTCGGGCCGTGTTGAGCAATCAGACCGCAATCAGTATGAAACGACTCGACGTTCGCATTGACCGTGCTCGCCTCAAAATTCTGGAAAAAACTCAAACAGCAATAAGACCGATCTCTTTGATATGATTGTCCCATAGACTGTAAATTTTAGGATTGTCCACGTGAACTTACGAGCAGAAAAATCACAAAATAAAGTAGCTTTCCTTTAAACTCACTAAATAACAGGCGCCACCTTACAGATCTGTTTTATGATTCCACATTGAATAAAAAACTCAATGATGGGATAACAATAAATCAAACATTACTCTGTTTAAACACACATCCTGCACGTTACTCACCAGAGTATCTTTTAGGGTTTTTCTGTCAAGGTCAAGACGAAGAAGAAACTTCGACTCCTGGAGAGAAAATATTCTTCTGAAGAGATAAGTTTCAGTTTCATTTCTCGATTTTTATTTTTTTTTGCCGCTTAAACTTTTCTCTCCCCTTTTTTTTCTTATACCGTAAAATTTCAAATAAAAGCCCATCCCAATATGAGTCCCAGACTCCTTTTTACCGGCCTGGTGGTTGCTGCTAATTTTTGACAAATAAAGGCAGCTCTCCATCAGAGGACCTTTTTGCATTTATTGTTGAAATAGTTTGCAGATCACAAATAAGTAAAAAGTGATGGCAGAGTCATTTTTATAGAGTGAGTTACATATTAAAAATATGAGCTATGTTGGGCCTCAGTCATGTGTGCTTGACAAAGGACTCAGGCCTGTATCGCAGTTCTCAAGCCTGACTAGAGTCATTTTGGCGGTAACTATATAAAGGAGTCTTAGCCCACCAACCCCCAACAGAAACTAACAAATAGGTGTGAAAAGTGGGGGGTGGGGGGAGCCTGAATTTTCTATCCTCATCGGAGGAGACCTGAGGTAAACCCACAGGCAGCTCCAGTCTTTAAAAGCAATCGTCAGGCATTGCTACCTCGTCTTCAAGTGGGGTCTGCCGACACCAGAGGATACACTCTCCAACAAGATGGACTCCAGCATTCGAGACAAACCATTTCCTCCCGGTGTCCGGGAGGCAGACACAGTCTGTATTTTTAAGAATAGACTTAAAACTTTCCTTTTTGATAAATCTTATAGTTAGGGCTGGTGCTGGTGTAGACCAGCTCCTAGTTATGCTGCTATAGGCTTAGACTACCGGGGGAACTGGCACCTTGAGCTCCTCTCTCTCTATCTCTCTCTGTGCATATACAGTACATCATATTACTACATGTATCTATCTGTAAATCTCAGTCACTAACCACCTACTTTCCTGGGAGCTCTTGAGCTCTCTTAGGCTCCTCGAGATCGTTGGTTGACGGCCTGCCAGACGGCTTGCCTCCCCCCACCCCCTTGCTCCCTATCCCTCTTCCTGCATCTTATCCCATCTCTCCCCCTATCCCTTTCCAAGCCCGGCACAGTCTAGGCCTGTGAAGGCTGTTTCGTCATGAGCCGGGGATCCGGCCGAAGATTTCTGCCTTTTAATAAGGCAGTTTTTTCTTACCACTGTAACTTTTGCTGCTTTGCTAAAGTGCTCATGATGGATAGGCCGGGTCTTTGTTATATAGCAATAAGTAAGGTCTTTTACCTGCTCTTTGTAACATAACAATGAGTAAGGTTTTTTTACTTGCTCTTTTGTAATGTTAACAGACAAAGAGTAAGGTATTTTACCTGCTTTTTGTAAAGTGTCTCAAGATAACACTTGTTATGAGTTGACGCTATACAAATAAAAATTGATTGATTGATTGATTGATTGATTGATTGATTGATTGATTGATTGATTGATTGATTGATTGATTAATTTCCTCCTCTTGGCTTACAAAGGTTAAACTCCAGAGCTGAGGTTGCTCAGTCTAGGTAGCTCTTCACATGCTGAATTCAAGCATCAGAGGATTCAGCTGACTACTTCCACGGCATATTTTTAGGAGTTTTGAAGATCTGAATCCTGCTACCCTCCTCCTACATCTGCCACGAAGGAACCCTGCCTGAATCTGTTGATTTAACATTCAACAGAGTGACAATCCAATCAACTTTGCAACGATCACCAGGATTTACCCCAAGTAAGAGCTTTGGTCTGGGCAGAAATAGTTTCAGAAATAGTTATGTTTCTTTTATAACCACTGATAATTATGCATCATTGTTGACGAGACGTCACATTCTGTTTATTATCTGTTGTAAGCTGCTGCATTTGTTTCATTGTAATGAACTGCTGTGTTCATGTATGTAATGCCATGTATGTAATGCTATGCTCAACGGCTTTCACAATCAGAAAGACCAGTGTACCCGCCGTTGAATCAAAGTCCGGCCACTGGCTTTCTGGTGTTTAAGTAACAGTTACTGAACTCAGCTCAGAGAGCTCAAACTATTCTGAAAGGTAGCCACACGGCTTCCTTTGTTGTCCACCATTTTGTCACCATGTGACGAAGCCACATGGTGCATTGTCTCTCTCCATCATCTTGTTTTCTCTCTCTCTCTCTCTCTCTCCTCTACACACACACACACACACACACACACACACACACACACACACACACTGTGTTCACACATAAGTTCATTGATTTTGGATTGATGTTGCTTTGTTTAAATGAATTCTGTTATAATTTAAGAGAGCAGTTGTTTGTGAATACTGGTGTATTTGCATTGTGATATAAGCTGGGTGCGAGGGCTTTGTGTACGGATTTCACGCCTTCAATTTATTAAATATAGTTATTAATAATATTAGTAATTAAGTAACTGATTTGAGTGATATTTTGGTTATATTTTCCTGATTACAGGGTGGTGCCCCAAGAGTGATTGCGCCTTCGACACATCAAGGCGAACACAGAAAGACTCAGGAAGAGCTTCTTTCCTGTTAACTCAACTCTTCTCAGTTAAAAACAAAACAGAACTGTGACTACATGATACACACGCACCACATATTCCAATCTGCACATTGCACTTTGACACCCTGGACACTTTACACACTGACACTTTACACTGTTTACATATTCTATATTTTATATTTTGTACATTCAGATAATTATTTTTTTATTTTTTACATTATATTCTATTTTACTGTATATATGTGTATTAGTAATTTGAGTGTTTATTGCATGACCTTGCGGAACAGTCCTTGCATTTCACTGCACATCTGTATGAGCATGTGACAAATAAAAATCCTGAATCTTGAACATAGTTTAATGATATTGTTATTTATATTATTAATAATTAAATATAATTATTAAAGAATATAACCAAAGTTGACTTGATACAACCCCAACAGCTATTATTTGGAGTTTTACGGTAAACTTTTAAAAAAAAAATAGGGACATTGCACATTAATGATCATAATGCCAGATTATAGTCAAAGGCTAATTTCCACCTGTAGTCCCTTGGCAGGTTGGTGGTAAACACGTAAAAAAAGTTGCATAAAACCACAATGACAAGCAACACCAATACAACAAGTAATGACAAAACAACAACATATACCGTACATGAATTAACAGAGACACATACCAGTATAAAGAGTGGCTGTTTGACTTTGTTCAGAACAAACCATGAAGTGACCATCAGAGTTCAAAGTGCTTCAGGTGCTGCTAAGGGACGTAGAGTGTCGGAGTATTAAAGTGTCACAGTGCTGGAGTATTGCACATCATTAAGAGGGATTGTTGTAATTGCACATTTACCCTAGAGAGCTTGCAACTTTAAAGGACTTGAAGGAAAGCACAAACAAGAAGACGTACCAGTTAACTAAAAGGCAAAGGTACAAAGACAATTATCAAACACATCATAATAATAATTCCATTGACAGACTCATTTAGAAAAAAGTTTTGGATACATTTAAATTATTATTATTATTATTAATATTATTTTGTTGTGTAGGGACCAAGCAGCACACAACACAGGAGTCATTTTAAAGAAAAGGTGGATTTTTATTTTATCCAACAAAGAAAAACCATACAAACCGAATTAGAAGAACTAGGCCAATAAAACAAAATAAGGTGTGAACAAAGCAGCAACCTCCAGGGTGTAAAAATAAAGCCAACGCTGAAGTGTAAAATCCTGCAGTTCCTCGAGTGTCAACTAGAGGCTGGCTGCAGAAGCACAGGAAGTCACATACACACCCATTCTAAAAAGCCTGTTTTTACAGCAGAGATTAACATGTTTACAGCCTGGTTAAAAAAAAAAACTAAACAGTACTATTTAGTTATTGTCATCACTGGCACACACTGGTGCTGACAGGAAGTGACCAGAGGCAGAGCACAGGTGCTGACAGGAAGTGACCAGAGTCAGAGCACAGTTGCTGACAGGAAGTGACCAGAGACAGAGCACAACATTGACAGCTGTTCTTGAGAGTTCTAATCAGCATCAAAACAATCCTAAATATCATCATCATCTTAAATGTCGTATGTGTTCATAAAGAGCTGGGTCTTTAGCTTTTTCTTAAAGGTGCAAAGGGACTCTGCAGAGCGAATGGAGTTTGGTAGTTTGTTCCAGCACAGGGGGGCGACAGAGAAGAAGTATCTAGCTACAGACTTAGGACCCTGTTGTGAAGGTTGGATCAGACGCCTTTCATGAGCAGAGTGTAGTGGGCGGGAGGGAGTGTAGACCTGGATTAAAGAGTTTAGGTAAGGAGGAATCGTTTTTGTGGCTGTTTTGGAAGTGAGCAGCAGGGGACAACCAATTACAGGTACCTGCAATACAAGAGAAGAGAAGGCACAACCTAAAAGGTCATGGGGCCGTCACAATCACGTAGCCCTGACACAATCTTTAATTTAGTTGGATTCACTAGATCTCAAATCAATACATCATCTATGGACAGGTGTTTTAATGGTGCTTTCAGCTTCACCACCAACACAAAGCTTATCTCACACTGAGATCATTTAATGATTTATTTACTGTGTTTGGCTCACAGGAGTGATGATCAGAGGGGCAGAGTTGTTCCCTGAGTTATATTTGCAGGGACGAAAGTACGGGTACAGTTTCTCAGTGAAGTTACAGCCGGTGAAGGAGTAGATGAGAGCTGCTGCATCTACATCATAGAAAGAGACCACACCCTCCTCGTAATCCACAAACACGCCCACCTTCTGAGGCTTCGACTTCAGAGAGAGAAGGGGAGAGTACACAGTGAGAGCTTTGTACTCACTTCCATTCCTCAACAACAGAACCCAAGGGCCTGTCTCTAGTTCTGGTGAGATTGATTCCTTCCTGTTAATTGATCCTCGTGCCACTCCTAATTCCCATATACTTTTATTTTTAACCTGAACCTCAAAATAAAACTTTCCTGCAGAAAAACTCTGCTTTCCTAAAACACAACCACTCATAGAAAATCTCTCTGGGTTGTCTGGGAGATTCTGTCTTTTATTAAAGTATACTTCTTTATTGTAATAATCCAGTTTAAGGCATGGATATGCTGTATCAGGATCCAGAGTGATGTCCACTGCATACTGCTGGATCCTCATCAGCTCAGACTCAAGCTGCTCCTCCACCTCTTCACTGAGTATCTCCTCCAGCTGAGCCACAGCGCTCCTCACCATCCCCTCATACGATGAGTGAACTCTGACCTCCGTCCAGTCTTTAGTGGGTGGGTGATCAGGGTTCAGGGATGGGAGGTTTTGGAGGAACTGGAGGTGGTCTTCAGTGCTTAAGAGCTGCTCCACTTCAGTGTTTCTCTCCATCAGCTCAGAGATTTCATCTTCCAGCTCTTTGATGAAGCCTTCAGCCTTCTCCTCTGTTGTTTTCTGCTTCTCCTCAAGTAAGTCAAGAAGCTGAGCCAGGCCTTCCTCGACAGACCGGATCAGAGCTGTGAAGACCTGCACGCTGTCTGATTTCTCCCGGTCAGTATCTGCCCTGCTGAGCTCCACTGAATCCTTCATCTCCTGAATCTTCAGATGTCTCTCCTCCATCATTTTCTGAATTTCAGTCTCCGTCTCACTCAGCTCAGCCTTTTCCTTTTCAAATTGCTCCATCAAGGGAACAAAGACAGTGAAGCTTGTGATTTGATTCAGTGCAGCTGAGACACACACACATCTGATCCGTCTTGCAAAACATCTCCAGAGGTTTGCTGTGACCTTCACACATTCTGTCCTGCAGGTTCTCCATAGGATCGACCAGCTCGTGTTTCGTCTGACCAATCACCTTCTGATGAAACTCCAGGTGAGTCTCACAGTAGGAGGTCAGACACATCAGGCAGGACTTCAGAGCCTTCATTTTGGATTCAGTGCAGACGTCACACAGAACTTCTCCAGAGTTGGTGTTTTCCTTCAGAGACATTCTGCTGCTTTTCTTTACAGTCGACTGTCTGAACTGAGCAGCCATCTCTGATATGAACGTGTTGACTCGAAGCTGAGGACGTTTTTCAAACACATCTTTACACATGGGACACTCACACGGGGCATTAACATCCCAGTGATGAGTGATGCAGGTCTTGCAGAAGTTGTGTCCACATGGTATGGAGACTGGATCAGTGAACACATCCAGACAGATGGAGCACAGAAACTGATCTTTAGAAAACATGCAGCTGGTGGCAGACATTTCTAGAAACGGAGAGAGAAAAAAAGAAAATAAATCAACCTTTCAAAGGTAGAAGTCTGAGGGGAGACTTCAATTATAAACTAATTGAAAACACTCAGTAATGTGTCAAATTCTGAAATGGGAACCTCCATCCGGTCTTTGTTTTGTGAACAAACACGGTCTCCATCTCAATTTTTTGTCTCGGTCTCGGACTGGGCAGACTTCAGATTTAAATTTATTTTTTGCCTTTCTTAGAGGGCAGCTGAAGAGAGACAGGAAATATAGGGAGCAAAACTTGGGGGTCATGACATGCAGGAAAGGGCAGAGGTCGGACTCAAACCCAAGGCCGCTGCAACAGACATCCAGACTCTTCTGGTAAGATCCAAAGAGTTCTCAATTATTCCCCATGTCTCAATAATTGTGGTCTGATTTTGAATATTTGTGTCCATAAAGAAAGAAAGACTTCTCATATGATTTACTTCAGTCCTCTGAAACTCTTTCAACCTCTGACTGAAAACAGGAAAAGGAATTTCTTGCTTGCTGCTCGAACAAATTATTTTTTTTAAATGCTGTTTTAAACACTCTTAATATTATTAATATTAATGCACTCACCTGTGTGTAACTGCAAAACTTCGGCGTGTATCAGGAAGCCTAAAGGTCTGATTAAATGATCTCGTAAGTTAGATAGAAAGCGACCTTACTGTTCTCCAGCGATTTCTTTCACTTTCATTTCCTGGAGTTTGACACCGAAACACTCCTCCAGGTGCTGCTCCGCCTTCACTGCACTGACGTGATCCTTCATGTGCTCCAAAGTTAACTGTTCAACAGGTATTATTTAGCCCAACAATTTCCGTGAAATCTTCTTAATATGGTCGTTTAAGAGTCACATGTCAGCAGGTTTCAGCAGAGATATTTTGTTCGGGAAAACGGGAGGCCCTTTGAGCATTTATTCGATATCCATAACAAGCATTAGTTTCCTGCACTAATTCAGCCTTTGACAGTACTAGTGAAAGCTGAAAGCATTACTTGTTACCATAGACTGTACATATTGATGGAAGAAGACTGAGGGACATTACCTATCTGTTCCTGCAGGGGGCTCGGGAGTCCCATTGATGGCAGTCTCCATCCGGGAAATGCTGTCTCTCTCACTGTAACTTTCGGTTAACCTCAGGAAAAGCTGAGTGCTGGAGCTGAGGCAGATTTTAAGCCTCTTAACAAACCGTTGCATCGTGCCCACCTGTCAATCATGTCAGCTACACGTCGAACTATCGATCACATGTATCATTCATAAAGTCAAAACTGAGCTGTTAGAAAAAAGAATTCACCCCCGTACAGTGTGTGACAATAACTAATAAACCTTATTTTGTTTTTTTGAACCAGGCTGTTAACATGTTAATTTCTGCTGTTAAAACAAATGTTTTTTTAATATGATGTGTATGTAACTTCTAGTGCTCTTGAAGCCAGCCTCAAGTGGACACTCTAAGAACTGCAGGATGTTGCAATTCTGCATCAGCTTCATTTTTGCCCGTTTGTTATGTATTGTGTTTCTATGGAAAGCCATTTGAATATTTATTCAATATCCATGATATCAATCTTAACTGAGTAAAGTTAACTGGTAAAATCTCACATGTTAATGAGTTAACTAGTAAGCCAAAATGATGTTTACTAGCTCACTAGTAAAGCTTTTTGCTATTAGCTTGTAAACTACTGCTGCCAAAAACCAAACAAATTCATGAAACTGAAAATTGATATCCAGGATATTGAATACATGTTCAAATGGCTTTCCATACCCATCAAAAGCTCTGACATGTTAATGAGTAATGTTGTTCAAAACAAACACTAGTTTGACTAGTAAGATGGTATTTTTAACTATTAGTTAGATGGTAAACATTTGAAGCATCACTTGTTAACTCATAAGGTTACGGGGTGCAAACTCATCAGGGATGAAAAAGGTGACATGGATCCAAACCCCCTAGGGGGGTCCAGGGGAAGCCCCCCTGGGAAGATTCTTTTTTAAATATCAGCTTTAAAATGTTAATTTACATACGATTTTAGCAATCAGACCTACTAAAGAAGCAATGCAAACAATAAGAAAACACCATTGCTTGTCGATATCTATGTCTCTGGCCTTATTACATGTGTTGACCAGCTGTCACTTTAATGTTGCCTGAGATAACAATGAACCAGAAAGCTATGAAGTTACCTCCAAGCTAGCACGCATTTCTCTCAACAACTTTACCTATGGCTACCAAACATTATGATCAGACAAGATGCTTAACTGAAAGGCTGGCTTGCTAACCAGACTTCGACTCTTTCCAAGGTGTTTTCACGGACAAATAACGTTATGTAAATTAGCCATGTGCTCCACATTGACTTATTGAATCAGGTTTCATGCTTCTTGCGGTCGGCGCGGCGATATTGCGCAATCGCGGTAGACGCAAGAATGGTCCGCGGAGGGTCTGAGCGCCCAGCCGCGCACCTCCTAGATTTTGTAACAACGCGGACAGGTTTGTACTGACCGCATTGCAATGATTGGCTACAGGGCCTGGAAGTACTTTATTCGGGCCGTGTTGAGCAATCAGACCGCAATCAGTATGAAACGACTCGACGTTCGCATTGACCGTGCTCGCCTCAAAATTCTGGAAAAAACTCAAACAGCAATAAGACCGATCTCTTTGATATGATTGTCCCATAGATTGTACATTTTAGGATTGTCCACGTGAACTTACGAGCAGAAAAATCAGAAAATAAAGTATCTTTCCTTCTTTAAACTCACTAAATAACAGGCGCCACCTTACAGATCTGTTTTATGATTCCACATTGAATAAAAAACTCAATGATGGGATAAGAACAATAAATCAAACATTACTCTGTTTAAACACACATCCTGCACGTTACTCACCAGAGTATCTTTTAGGGTTTTTCTGTCAAAGTCAAGACGAAGAAGAAACTTCGACTCCTGGAGAGAAAATATTCTTCTGAAGAGATAAGTTTCAGTTTCATTTCTCGATTTTTATTTTTTTTTTGCCGCTTAAACTTTTCTCTCCCCTTTTTTTTTCTTATACCGTAAAACTTCAAATAAAAGCCCATCCCAATATGAGTCCCAGACTCCTTTTTACCGGCCTGGTGGTTGCTGCTAATTTTTGACAAATAAAGGCAGCTCTCCATCAGAGGACCTTTTTGAATTTATTGTTTAAATAGTTTGCAGATCCCAAATAAGTAAAAAGTGATGGCAGAGTCATTTTCATAGAGTGAATTACATATTAAAAATATGAGCTATGTTGGGCCTCAGTCATGTGTGCTTGACAAAGGACTCAGGCCTGTATCGCAGTTCTCAAGCCTGACTAGAGTCATTTTGGCGGTAACTATACAAAGGAGTCTTAGCCCACCAACCCCCAACAGAAACTAACAAATAGGTGTGAAAAGTGGGGGGTGGGGGGTGTCTGAATTTTTTTATCCTCATCGGAGGGGACCTGAGGTAAACCCACAGGCAGCTCCAGTCTTTAAAAGCAATCGTCAGGCATTGCTACCTCGTCTTCAAGTGTGGTCTGCCGACACCAGAGGATACACTCTCCAACAAGATGGACTCCAGCATTCGAGACAAACCATTTCCTCCTGGTGTCCGGGAGGCAGACACAGTCTGTATTTTTAAGAATAGACTTAAAACTTTCCTTTTTGATAAATCTTATAGTTAGGGCTGGTGCTGGTGTAGACCAGCTCCTAGTTATGCTGCTATAGGCTTAGACTACCGGGGAACTGGCACCTTGAGCTCCTCTCTCTCTATCTCTCTCTGTGCATATACAGTACATCATATTACTGCATGTATCTATCTGTAAATCTCAGTCACTAACCACCTACTTTCCTGGGAGCTCTTGAGCTCTCTTAGGCTCCTCGAGATCGTTGGTTGACGGCCTGCCAGACGGCTTGCCTCCCCCCACCCCCTTGCTCCCTATCCCTCTTCCTGCATCTTATCCCATCTCTCCCCCTATCCCTTTCCAAGCCCGGCGCAGTCTAGGCCTGTGAAGGCTGTTTCGTCATGAGCCGGGGATCCGGCCGAAGATTTCTGCCTTTTAATAAGGCAGTTTTTTCTTACCACTGTAACTTTTGCTGCTTTGCTAAAGTGCTCATGATGGATAGGCCGGGTCTTTGTTATATAGCAATAAGTAAGGTCTTTTACCTGCTTTTTGTAACATAACAGTGAGTAAGGTCTTTTTACCTGCTCTTTTGTAATGTTAACAGACAAAGAGTAAGGTATTTTACCTGCTTTTTGTAAAGTGTCTCAAGATAACACTTGTTATGAGTTGACGCTATACAAATAAAAATTGATTGATTGATTGATTGATTGATTGATTGATTGATTAATTTCCTCCTCTTGGCTTACAAAGGTTAAACTCCAGAGCTGAGGTTGCTCAGTCTTGGTAGCTCTTCACATGCTGAATTCAAGCATCAGAGGATTCAGCTGACTACTTCCACGGCATATTTTTAGGAGTTTTGAAGATCTGAATCCTGCTACCCTCCTCCTACATCTGCCACGAAGGAACCCTGCCTGAATCTGTTGATTTAACATTCAACAGAGTGACAATCCAATCAACTTTGCAACGATCACCAGGATTTACCCCAAGTAAGAGCTTTGGTCTGGGCAGAAATAGTTTCAGAAATAGTTATGTTTCTTTTATAACCACTGATAATTATGCATCATTGTTGACGAGACGTCACATTCTGTTTATTATCTGTTGTAAGCTGCTGCATTTGTTTCATTGTAATGAACTGCTGTGTTCATGTATGTAATGCCATGTATGTAATGCTATGCTCAACAGCTTTCACAATCAGAAAGACCAGTGTACCCGCCGTTGAATCAAAGTCCGGCCACTGGCTTTCTGGTGTTTAAGTAACAGTTACTGAACTCAGCTCAGAGAGCTCAAACTATTCTGAAAGGTAGCCACACGGCTTCCTTTGTTGTCCACCATTTTGTCACCATGTGACGAAGCCACATGGTGCATTGTCTCTCTCCATCATCTTGTTTTCTCTCTCTCTCTCTCTCTCTCCTCTACACACACACACACACACACAGACACACTGTGTTCACACATAAGTTCATTGATTTTGGATTGATGTTGCTTTGTTTAAATGAATTCTGTTATAATTTAAGAGAGCAGTTGTTTGTGAATACTGGTGTATTTGCATTGTGATATAAGCTGGGTGCGAGGGCTTTGTGTACGGATTTCACGCCTTCAATTTATTAAATATAGTTATTAATTATTAATAATATTAGTAATTAAGTAACTGATTTGAGTGATATTTTGGTTATATTTTCATGATTACAGGGTGGTGCCCCAAGAGTGATTGCGCCTTCGACACATCAAGGCGAACACAGAAAGACTCAGGAAGAGCTTCTTTCCTGTTAACTCCACTCTTCTCAGTTAAAAACAAAACAGAACTGTGACTACATGATACACACGCACCACATATTCCAATCTGCACATTGCACTTTGACACCCTGGACACTTTACACACTGACACTTTACACTGTTTACATATTCTATATTTTATATTTTGTACATTCAGATAATTATTTTTTTATTTTTTACATTATATTCTATTTTACTGTATATATGTGTATTAGTAATTTGAGTGTTTATTGCATGACCTTGCGGAACAGTCCTTGCATTTCACTGCACATCTGTATGAGCATGTGACAAATAAAAATCCTGAATCTTGAACATAGTTTAATGATATTGTTATTTATATTATTAATAATTAAATATAATTATTAAAGAATATAACCAAAGTTGACTTGATACAACCCCAACAGCTATTATTTGGAGTTTTACGGTAAACTTTAAAAAAAAAAAATAGGGACATTGCACATTAATGATCATAATGCCAGATTATAGTCAAAGGCTAATTTCCACCTGTAGTCCCTTGGCAGGTTGGTGGTAAACACGTAAAAAAAGTTGCATAAAACCACAATGACAAGCAACATCAATACAACAAGTAATGACAAAACAACAACATATACCGTACATGAATTAACAGAGACACATACCAGTATAAAGAGTGGCTGTTTGACTTTGTTCAGAACAAACCATGAAGTGACCATCAGAGTTCAAAGTGCTTCAGGTGCTGCTAAGGGACGTAAAGTGTCGGAGTATTAAAGTGTCACAGTGCTGGAGTATTGCACATCATTAAGAGGGACTGTTGTAATTGCACATTTACCCTAGAGAGCGTGTAACTTTAAAGGACTTGAAGGAAAGCACAAACAAGAAGACGTACCAGTTAACTAAAAGGCAAAGGTACAAAGACAATTATCAAACACATCATAATAATAATAATAATTCCATTGACAGACTCATTTAGAAAAAAGTTTCGGATACATTTAAATTATTGGCATGGATTTTTTTGTGTAGGGACCAAGCAGCACATGACACGGGAGTCATTTTAAAGAAAAGGTGGATTTTTATTTTATCCAACAAAGAAATACAAAGTTTACAAACCAAATTATAAGAACTAGGCCAATGAAACACAATAAGGTGTGAACAAAGCAGCAACCTCCAGGGTGTAAAAATGAAGCCAACGCTGAGTCACAAACTTTCAAAGAGCTGATGATGTAATGTTTCAGGGATGTCGGTTAACAAACACAAACACGCTTTGGGATGAGAAACGACGGTAATTAATGTGTTTTCACCATCTTTCAGAAGTGATTTCGTGGAAGCTTCTCCGCCGTCCTCCATGTTGGTACTTCCGCAGTGTGACGTGTGCGACGTGTGACGTTGCATGAACCTTAAAGGGCCACGCACCAAATTTCTCACCGCTGTTTTGTATGTTTGTTCCTTTTTTGCTCTCTTCTTTATTGCATTATTGGCGGATAACATTTCAGCTGCTTATAGGTTGAACCTTTTAACAGTATTAACAAGACAAAACAACAGATGCCAGGGAATGGAAATGTAGGCAGTTTTGCAGAGCCAGAGAAAATACTTTTTTTGTTGCATTTTCATAGAAAGGAAAATGTTGTTGACGGTAAATGTTTTTTTGATAATAGTTACAAAGGTTAGGGCATGATATCCATAAGGAGTAGGGCTGGGCGATATGACCTCATATCAACATCACAATTAATGGAACATTTTACCTCAATGATGATTAATCATCACTTTATTCTATCCATCAGTATTCATACAGTTCTGGTTAATTTATTCCTGTTGTTCTTATCCATCATTGCACTACGGTCACTTTATTTATCTCATTTTTACCTTTACAGTTATATTGTATATATTAGTTCTGTTGTTCCATTATTCACCATGCACCTTAATAACTTATCATTTAGTATGTGCCTACTTGCACATAGTTCTGTATATATATATATTTATTTCTCGTTTACTGCACATAGTTCTGTTTACATCTGTTTACATCTGTTAGTCCGATCACTGTCCACTTATATCTACTCTTTTATATTTTGTATTTTTAAGTTAAGTTTAAGCTTTAAGTTGTATTTAAATTGACACTTTACATTTAGGTTAAAATGTTTCGTTTACTTGCACTGTTGTTAATTTACTGCTCTGTGTGCCTTTGAATTGCCCCCAGGGGACAAATAAAGTTTTTTGAATTGAATTGAATTAATGAACGATTATTTTGTTTTTGTTTTGAAATGGACTCATCTTGGTTTTTCGTTAGTGATTCAATGTGTTAAAAAAAAAAAAGACCAGTACGCCTTATTTCATGGTCCCATTTTTAATGAAATTAAAAAGTAACATAAAAAAAGAAACTGGCAACAACTTATTTGTCCCAGTTTCTTAGTTTGATTCATCATATAAAACACTGGAAAAGGAAAAAAAAGGAAATGAAACCATCAAGACGAGGAAGTCAGATTCTATCCCTAACAAAGGTCAAACATGAAGACAAAACGCCAACATTACAGGCGACAGTTATAAAAGAAAAAAACTTTAAGACCAGAATACATTTCTGAGCATGGAGTTGAAGCTCATCTGATATTTAACCAGAGCAGAAAAAAACTGTTAAGTGTTTATAAAAGCACATTTTAATGCCGAACTTGTATTAGCTGTGTCCGAAACCACAAACTGCCTACTACTACATACTCAAAATTTATAAACTGCTTAACCTGACCGTACAACATACTAAACTACGGGTCACGGGACGTACTTCCAGCCCGAGCTCCGTTTGATGAGCTAGCATCAAGCTAGCGCAACCGTCAATCTGTAAATATAATACAACAACAAAATGCAAACGTTCATTACATTCTTTGCCAATATGTAAAAAGTATTTCAGCTTGGAACTTTCATTTTAAGCCGCTAGTTGGCTGCATGGCTAGCTCTAAGATTGTGCATTTATTTTGTGTTATGGTTTATCAGATAAAGACAGATACAACATAGACAAACTGAAACCAGCAATCCAATGCAAGTATTACAGTTTTCATAGCGGGTGCAGTAAAAAATGCAAATAAATCTGTGTCTGCAGCGTGTGTGCTGTGAATCATTTCTTCTGATATGACCCGGCGACCAGAGCTCGTAGGTCATGGAGAGGCATCACCATTGATTTCAGTCTGTTTCACCACCATGAAAAACTCCTCACAGGAGCTTCAAGATCATTATCACATGTTGAGTGTTAATTAAACATTGTTTGGGCTAACTTTTCTAAAGTGCTATAACTCAGTGGTTTCCCACCTTTTTCCCTTGGAGCCCTTCCTGATGATCGATTCACCGGCCACTCCTACATCCCAGTCAGTCTTCTCCTTAACCAGAACTTCGTAGTAAGATCTTCCCGAGGAGAAACTCTGCTTTCCCAAGACGCCGTTACAAGTGGTGAATCTCTGCGGGTAGTCTGGGAGAATCTGCTGTGTCTCCACAGATTTGACTCGTTTCTGATCGTCAGACAGAATGAGATAAGGATTTGCAGTGTCAGGATCCAGAGTGACATCCACTGCATATTGCTGGACTCTCTTCAGCTCCACATCAGCACACATCTTCCTCATCTTCTCACTAAGTGTGCCCGCCAGCTGAGCCACAGCGCTCCTCACAGTCCCCTCATGCGATGAGTGAACTCTGACCTCCGTCCAGATGTGGGTGGGTGGAGCAGGGTTCAGGGATGGGAGGTTTTGGAGGAACTGGAGGTGGTCTTCAGTGCGTGAGAGCTGCTCCACTTCAGCGCTTCTCTTCATCAGCTCAGAGATTTCATCTTCCAGCTCTTTGATGAAGCCTTCAGCCTGTTTCTCTGTTTTGTTGTGCTCCTCTTCAAGTAAGTCAAGAAGCTGAGCCAGGCCTTCCTCAACAGACCGGATCAGAGCGGTGAAGACCTGCATGCTGGCCGCTGTCTCTCGGTCAGTATCTTCCCTGCTGAGCTTCACCGACTGCCTGATCTTCTCGATCTTCACTCGTCTCTTCTGAATCTTCTGCTGAATTTCGGCGTCTAACTTCACCAGTTTGTCCCTCTTTACCTTGTACTCTTCCATCATGGGAACAAAGACATGTTGCTTGTGTTCTGACTCAGTGCAGAACTGACAAACACACCTCTGATCCGTCTTGCAGAACATCTCCAGAGGTCTGCCGTGACTCTTACAGATTCTGTCCTCCAGGTTCTCCACAGGATCGATCAGCTCGTGTCTCTTCAGGCCGGGGATTCTGTGATGAGGCTCCAGGTGAGTCTCACAGTAGGAGGTCAGACACATCAGGCAGGACTTCAGAGCCTTCGTTTTGGATTCAGTGCAGACGTCACACAGAACTTCTCCAGAGTTGGTGTTTTTCTTCAGAGACATTCTGCTGCTTTTCTTTACAGAAGACTGTCTGAACTGAGCAGCCATCTCTGATATGAACGTGTTGACGTGAAGCTCAGGTCTCCTGTTAAAAACCTTTGAACACAATGGACACTGACACGGGGCATTAACATCCCAGTGATGAGTGATGCAGCTCTTGCAGAAGTTGTGTCCACATGGTATGGAGACTGGATCAGTGAACACATCCAGACAGATGGAGCACAGAAACTGCTCTTCAGATAGCATGCAGCTGGCAGCAGACATTTCTATAAAACAAGATTGAAAATAAATCAAACTTTTTAATTGTTCTATTACCGATTATTAAAAGTTCATTAGACCTTTTACCGACATTTGGAAGAGCACGACCGATTAATCGGCCAGCCGATAATATCGGCCGATATTAGCATATCCTGTGACTATCGGTATCGGCTACTGGCATCACAGATATGTGCCGATATTACTCGATTAATTCACCAGTCAAATAGCATTTCATTTGAGTTTCATCGTATGACACTAGCAGTTCTCTGTCACCAGCAGAGGGCGCTATATGGATTATAAAAAGCATCATCACTCTCCAGAGTGTCGAGCGGTGATGCACGTACATGCTCAGTTACTTTCCAGCTGAGTGACCATCCTGTCTTTGTTATAAATCTTTTCCACAAGTGTTTGATAACTGCATATTAGGGATCAACACAAATAAGTGTGTATCTATCTCTGCAGATCGAACATAGATCTAAGAAAGATATCAGCCGATATATCTATTTTTTTACACTCTCAAATATCAATATCAGTATCGGCCCCAAAAATCTCATATCGGTCGGGCCCTAATATTTGAAACCGGCGTATCTAAACTAAAAATGAAAATCTTTCTGTCAAAATTTTGAATTTGGAATATAACAAACTCCAACCCAAGACTTTGTTTAAATGGATATTACTCATGTGACGTCTGGCCAATCAGATACTGTTGTGGGCGGAACAAATGGGTGAGGCATTGTAACAGACCCAGAAGGAAAGACACATTTGCAGCTGAGCAAAGGGCATTTTTTAATTAATTTTTCTATCATAGAGGGGAATAATAAAATGCCGGCCAAATGCAAAATACACACACATTCCTGAAACGAATTACCATCACATATCAGGGATTGTGAGAATGACTTAACCTTTATAAGAAAACGCACACATTGGTTAACGTAGTCATTTATAAAATCGGTCCTTTTCCCAGGGGTTTCTTGCTCTTCCTGTTTTTCAGATTAGCTAATTGAATGTATGTCTGTTATTTCTTACATGGAAATTGTCTCCATATTGTTTGTAAAATCGTCTGTGGGTTCTTTTGTGAGCTGTCCTGTAATTGTAAATGTGTTTGATGATATTCTTTAGTAACTACCTTATAGGACGTTTAGCTTTTGTGCTAATTCCAGCATATTTACATGGATGCTATATGCTGATATGATGATTAATGTGCACTGTGCTAATTCAATAAATAAAAAATGGAGAGTACACTGACCAACTGTAAGACACTTTTTAAGTATTTTTCCACATAGCTGATCATGTTTTGGTTGGATAGTTTCTGTGTTTATTTAAGCAGGTAAATGTGCAGACGAACCAGCAGGCCTCTCCTTCACACACTGCTGTACTAACTCTCCTTATGCTTTATATAGTTCAAGATATGTCTGGTCTAATAACATCAGTGTGACTATTAGTGAGGCTACAGTCCATCTCCGAACACAAACACACGTCATAGTTTTTTCTAAATATAGTCTAACATCACCACAAATCTCCTCACAAATCAAAAGAAGCTACTTAAGTTGCGTGCAGGAGAAGCACCACTTTGCGCATGCGCACGGCACAGAAAAGTCCAAAATCAAAATTCTGGAAAAACTCAAAACAGCAGTAAGATTGATCTCTTTGATATAATTGTCCCGTAGACTGTAAATATTACGAGCAGAAAAATCAGAAAATAAAGTCTCTTTCCTTCTTTAAACTCACTAAATAACAAAAACTGACCTGATGATGATAATATTTGATTTATAGGCGTCACCTTACAGATCTGTTCTGTGATTCCACATTGAATAAAAAACTCAATGATGGGATAAGAACAATAAATCAAACATTACTCTGTTTAAACACACATCCTGCACGTTACTCACCTGAGTGTCTTTTAGTGTTTTTCTGTCAAAGTCAAGACGAGAAGAAACTCTGACTCCTGGAGAGAAAATATTCTTCTGAAGAGATAAGTTTCAGTTTCATTTCTCTCTCTTTTTTGCCGCTTAAACTTTTCTCTCCCCTTTTTTTTTCTTATACCGTAAAACTTCAAATAAAAGCCCATCCCAATATGACTCCCAGGCTCCTTTTTACCGGCCTGGTGGTTGCTGCTAATTTATGATAAATAAAGGCAGCTCTCCATCAGAGGACCTTTTTGCATTTATTGTTGAAATAGTTTGCGATCACAAATAACTAAAAATTGATGGCAGAGTCATTTTCATAGTGAATTTAATATTAAAAACATGAGCAATTATTTGGAGTTTTACGGTAAACTTTTTTTTTTTTTTTTTTAAATAGGATAAGATAAGATAATCCTTTATTTATCCCAAAATGAGGAAATTTACAGTGTTACAGCAGCAAAGAGCAAAGATTGCAGGACAGTGCACATTAATGATCACATATAATGATCATCCCTTGGCAGGTTGGTGGTAAACGCGTAAAAAAAGTTGCATAAAACCACAATGACAAGCAACACCAATACAACAAGTAATGACAAAACAACAACATATACCGTACATGAATTAACAGAGACACATACCAGTATAAAGAGTGGCTGTTTGACTTTGTTCAGAACAAACCATGAAGTGACCATCAGAGTTCAAAGTGCTTCAGGTGCTGCTAAGGGACGTAAAGTGTCGGAGTATTAAAGTGTCACAATGCTGGAGTATTGCACATCATTAAGAGGGACTGTTGTAATTGCACATTTACCCTAGAGAGCTTGGAACTTTAAAGGACTTGAAGGAAAGCACAAACAAGAAGACGTACCAGTTAACTAAAAGGCAAAGGTACAAAGACAATTATCAAACACATCATAATAATAATAATAATTCCATTGACAGACTCATTTAGAAAAAAGTTTCGGATACATTTAAATTATTGGCATGGATTTTTTTGTGTAGGGACCAAGCAGCACATGACACGGGAGTCATTTTAAAGAAAAGGTGGATTTTTATTTTATCCAACAAAGAAATACAAAGTTTACAAACCAAATTATAAGAACTAGGCCAATGAAACACAATAAGGTGTGAACAAAGCAGCAACCTCCAGGGTGTAAAAATGAGGCCAACGCTTAAGAGTAAAATCCTGCAGTTCCTCGAGTGTCCACTAGAGGCTGGCTGCAGAAGCACAGGAAGTCAAATACACACCCATTCAAAAAAGCCTGTTTTTACAGCAGAGATTAACATGTTTACAGCCTGGTTAAAAAAAAAAAACTAAACGGTACTATTAGTTATTGTCATCACTGGTACAAGGACTCCACGCCTCCCCACCAACACAAAGCTTATCTCACACTGAGATCATTTAATGATTTATTTACTGTGTTTGGCTCACAGTAGTGATGATCAGAGGGGCAGAGTTGTTGCCTGAGTCATTATTACAGGGACCAAAGATAGGGAAGAGTTTCTCAGTGAAGTTACAGCCGGTGAAGGAGTAGATGAGAGCTGCTGCATCTACATCATAGAAAGAGACCACACCCTCCTCATAATCCACAAACACGCCCACCTTCTGAGGCTTCGACTTCAGAGAGAGGAGAACACCGACAGCTGTGTAATCACCTCCATTCCTCAACATCAGAATCCAAGGGCCTGTCTCTAGTCTTGGTGAGATTGGTTCTTTTCTGTTAATTGATCCTCGGGCCACTCCTAATTCCCATTTATTTTTATTTTTAACCTCAACCTCAAAATAAAACTTTCCTGCAGAAATACTCTGCTTTCCTAAAACACATGTCGTCTTAGAAAACCTCTCCAGGTTGTCTGGGAGATTCTGTCTTTCACCATAATATACTTGTTTCCCGTCATCAGACAGAATGAGACATGGACTTGCAGTATCAGGATCCAGAGTGATGTCCACTGCATACTGCTGGATCCTCATCAGCTCAGACTCAAGCTGCTTCTCCACCTCTTCACTAAGTTTCTCCTCCAGCTGAGCCACAGCGCTCCTCACCATCCCCTCATATGATGAGTGAACTCTGACCTCCGTCCAGTCTTTAGTGGGTGGGTGATCAGGGTTCAGGGATGGGAGGTTTTGGAGGAACTGGAGGTGGTCTTCAGTGCTTAAGAGCTGCTCCACTTCAGTGTTTCTCTCCATTAGCTCAGAGATTTCATCTTCCAGCTCTTTGATGAAGCCTTCAGCCTTCTCCTCTGTTGTTTTCTGCTTCTCCTCAAGTAAGTCAAGAAGCTGAGCCAGGCCTTCCTCGACAGACCGGATCAGAGCTGTGAAGACCTGCACGCTGTCTGATTTCTCCCGGTCAGTATCTGCCCTGCTGAGCTCCACTGAATCCTTCATCTCCTGAATCTTCAGATGTCTCTCCTCGATCATTTTCTGAATTTCAGTCTCCGTCTCACTCAGGTCAGCCTTCTTCTTTTCATATTGCTCCATCAAGGGAACAATACAGTGAAGCTTGTGATTTGATTCAGTGCAGCTGAGACACACACACATCTGATCCGTCTTGCAGAACATCTCCAGAGGTCTGCCGTGACCTTCACACATTCTGTCCTGCAGGTTCTCCATAGGATCGACCAGCTCGTGTTTCGTCTGACCAATCACCTTCTGATGAAACTCCAGGTGAGTCTCACAGTAGGAGGTCAGACACATTAGGCAGGACTTCAGAGCCTTCACTTTGGTTTCAGTGCAGACGTCACACAGAACTTCTCCAGAGTTGGTGTGTTTCTTCAGAGACATTCTGCTGCTTTTCTTTACAGAGGACTGTCTGAACGGAGCAGCCATCTCTGATATGAACGTGTTGACGTGAAGCTCAGGTCTACTGTTAAAAACCTTTGAACACAATGGACACTGACACGGGGCATTAACATCCCAGTGATGAGTGATGCAGCTCTTGCAGAAGTTGTGTCCACATGGTACGGAGACTGGATCAGTGAACACATCCAGACAGATGGAGCACAGAAACTGATCTTTAGAAAACATGCAGCTGGTGGCAGACATTTCTAGAAACGGAGAGAGAGAAAAAGAAAATAAATCAACCTTTCAAAGGTAGAAATCTGAGGGGAGACTTCAATTATAAACTAATTGAAAACACTCAGTAATGTGGCAAATTCTGAAATGGGAACCTCCATCCGGTCTTTGTTTTGTGAACAAACACGGTCTCCATCTCAATTTTTTGTCTCGGTCTCGGACTGGGCAGACTCCAGATTGAAATTATTTTTTGCCTTTCTTAGAGGGCAGCTGAAGAGAGACAGGAAATATAGGGAGCAGAACTTGGGGGGCATGACATGCAGGAAAGGGCAGAGGTCGGACTCAAACCCAAGGCCGCTGCAACAAGGACTATAGCCTCCGTACATGGGGAATGCAATTTAAACACTAGGCAATTGGCGTCCCATTAGACCTACTTTCAAACTTACATCAACTAGACATCAAAATCAGGCAGGTGAGTGTGAAGACAGGAGACAGAAATAAACAATGAGCAGAATCGAAATAATGATAGACACTTTTATGACAGTGTTTGCTGCCATCGTGTGGCCATAAGTGGTCACTTCAGTGGGATCTTACACTTTGTAGACTCACTTTTAATTGTGGACAGATGTTCGGTGAATTAAAGATATTCTTATATTTTAGACACAATGCCTGTGGTGTTAATGAGACTTGAACCAGCAAACAAAAGACCACGCTGATACAGACATCCAGACTCTTAAATCTGGTAAGATCCAAAGAGTTCTCAATTATTCCCCATGTCTCAATAATTGTGGTCTGATTTTGAATATTTGTGTCCATAAAGGAAGAAAAACTTCTCATATGATTTACTTCAGTCCTCTGAAACTCTTTCAACCTCTGACTGAAAACAGGAAAAAGAATTTCTTGCCTGCTGCTCGAACAAATTATTTTTTTAAATGCTGTTTTAAACACTCTTAATATTATTAATATTAATGCACTCACCTGTGTGTAACTGCAAAACTTCGGCGTGTATCAGGAAGCCTAAAGGTCTGATTAAATGATCTCGTAAGTTAGATAGAAAGCGACCTTCCTGTTCTCCAGCGATTTCTTTCACTTTCATTTCCTGGAGTTTGACACCGAAACACTCCTCCAAGTGCTGCTCCGCCTTCACTGCACTGACGTGATCCTTCATGTGCTCCAAAGTTAACTCTTCAACAGATATTATTTAGCCCAACAATTTCCGTGAAATCTTCTTAATATGGTCGTTTAAGAGTCACATGTCAGCAGGTTTCAGCAGAGATATATTGTTCGGGAATACGGGAGGCCGTTTGAGCATTTATTCGATATCCATAACAAGCATTAGTTTCCTGCACTAATTCAGCCTTTGACAGTACTAGTGAAAGCTGAAAGCATTACTTGTTACCATAGACTGTACATATTGATGGAAGAAGACTGAGTGACATTACCTATCTGTTCCTGCAGGGGGCTCTGGAGTCCCATTGATGGCGGTCTCCATCCGGGAAATGCTGTCTCTCTCACTGTAACTTTCGGTTAACCTCAGGACAGGCTGAGTGCTGGAGCTGAGGCAGGTTTTAAGCCTCTTAACAAACCGTTGCATCGTGCCCACCTGTCAATCATGTCAGCTACACGTCAAACTATCGATCACATGTATCATTCATAAAGTCAAAACTGTTAGAAAAAAGAATTCACCCCCGTACAGTGTGTGACAATAACTAATAAACCTTATTTTGTTTTTTTGAACCAGGCTGTTAACATGTTAATTTCTGCTGTTAAAACAAATGTTTTTTTAATATGATGTGTATGTGACTTCTAGTGCTCTTGAAGCCAGCCTCAAGTGGACATTCTAAGAACTGCAGGATGTTGCAATTCTGCATCAGCTGCATTTTTGCCCATTTGTTACGTATTGTGTTCCTATGGAAAGCCATTTGAATATTTATTCAATATCCATGATATCAATCTTAACTGAGTAAAGTTAACTGGTAAAATCTAACATGTTAATGAGTTAACTAGTAAGCCA